GTGCGCGAGCCGCGGAGGCGCCGCAGCCAACAGGCGGCCGAGGGTGCAGCCGCTGGAGCGCCACCGCCGGTGGGGTGGGGGGCAAGGCTATAAAGAAGGCCCAGAGGTAAGAAACTAGCAAAAACACAACCACAAGTTATGCCCGTGCTGTGCCTCTAGCAGCAAAAGACAAGCGGTGTGGGGTTTTGGATGCATCTACACTTCTCGTCGGGGGAGAAAGGGTATTTTCCTCTTTAGCATAAACCATTTGCATAGTGTCTTTAGACCAGCGTTTAAATTCAGCAGAAAATTGTGGCTTTTTTTTTTTTTTCCTCTTTTTCTCTGTATCGTTTGAAAAGAAGTCTTTGGAATTTCAGAGAAAGAGAAAGGGTCATTAACTACTAGAGTTTGTACAGCTAAAATAAATTAGTGTCCAATGCACTGTTCATAACAAGGATCTAGAAAAGTTTCCAGCAAGAGTGAAGAGCAATTGTGTCTGACTTAAAGGGACAATGGTGACTCGTTTGTAAGATGCATACGGCAAAGAATAGAGCCAAAATCCTTTGTAAATATATCAAATTGTAAAGAAATTGTTTATTTACATCCTAAATTTTCTGAACTCCATTTCTAAAAACGTATGTTTCTTATGACCTTTATTTGCAAAGAAAATTGTATGTATGCTTTTAATGTCAAATTTCAATAACTAACTTCAGACAGTATTTGTATTTGAAACTGTGTTTTTATATAAGAAAGTAAGAAAGGGTCTATATTCCAAAACAAAACCACAAATTTGTACTGAAATAAATCATTTCCTCTGTTGAAAAGATGCTGCATTACATTTCAATATTAAGAGAGAGACTATTTTAGAAACAGAATAAGCTTTTGATATTTTAGAGGCCTTTCAGGAAAAGGGGTCTTCCTTATGTCTAAAAAAATGGTTCTTTACAGTTCAGATATTAGAAACTTTTTTTTTGTAGCAGAATTGCTCAATAATGATGAATCCTTAAAGCCCCCAAAATCATAAACTAAGTTCAAAACAACGTCCAGTTTACTGCTGGATATAATGGTAATTGTGTCTAAGCTAAATTAGTTTGTTTAAATTCTTAATTGTCATATATAAAGAAATTTTATTTTACTTTTATATGCTTCATACCTCTTGTTTCTATTGAATTATTCAATAAAATCTGATCTAGGCTTGAAAAGCACTGGCAAGATATCTAATATCTTAATGTACAACTGCATAAAGATAAGCATGTGTGTTTCCCTAGTAATTTTTTAGACTTGAAATTTCAACTAGAATCAAATCACTTTCTTCCAAGTAAGATTATAAGAGAAGTCTTAAGTAACAGGTTGTTGATTTTTATTGGTTATATATAAAGCCAGCTCTGAAACAAAACATGTAAGCTGGAATTGTAAGTGGATAGTTTACCCTTTCAGAATTATCCAGGGAAATAGTTTTGCTGTGTGTAAATCAAAGCATCAGGATTACAATGTTTTAAATTTAAGTTACATTTTAAAAAGAATATTAAATACTATTCTATTTAGTTACATAATTAAACAAAGCTTTTAAAAATATGTCAGAGAAAGGATAAGAGAAAAATAAAACCATTGGGAGTTGAAGTTCAACTAAATATCGGGCTGCAAGAAATCAATTTTAAGAAGCCAGTGCTTAGATATCAAAACAGCTGAACCAAGGAGGCAAATATGTACAACTAAAGCAATAGTAAATCAAGTTTTACCAATTCTTCAAAAAAAAAATACTGATAACTCAAAAACACACTGAATTTAGTTATAAATAAGAAGAAATACATTTTCTATGTAAAATAAGTGATACAACAAAGTTGATTATTTTTTTCATGTTTAATGTGAAAAGGATGATCTCATGACATTTACATACCAAATACTAGGCATTATGTAGTATTAATGTTGATGGCTATGTTACATCAAAAAATAATGTGATAATTGGTGGCACAGTATGATTTTCAAAAGTGCTATAAAACAGAAATATTGGGAATTCAAATACACATTACCGAGGAGCTGGGGATTGCTCTGCAAGGCCCCAATGGCAAACTTTACATGTTAGCAAAATAATCAGAAGTTGCTAAATTCTTTTTTCCTTGTATTAAAATAGTGACATAGATGACAAATAACAGGATCTAAGATACACTAAATTAAAATACTTATACAAGTTTAATAATGTTTTAGACCAAACCAAAAAAAAAAAAAGTAAAGAAATTCATCTTATTCTAAATTTAATTTTTTTTTTCTGTTGGTTCTTAGTCCCCCTGCCACCTCCCATCATTGGTTCTTTAAAACAAAGCAAAGACTTTGTGACACAGTAACTTTAATTAAAATTTAAAAAAAAAAAAAAAGGAAAAGTCTGCTTTTTTGTAGCCTTTGCTGTCTTCCATATAGACTGGGTAACATTTAATCAAAGCAACAAGTTATCCCTGTTATTTGAAATATCTTCCTGTTAGTTCCACAGATATATTTTGTACTTCCACAGATATATTTTGTACTATTAAATGAGGAGGAAAGTTGGATAATTATCTCAAGAATATGCTGCCTTGTCTGAAATTTGAAGTTCAAAGTAGTTTATCTGAGACATCTTATCTTTGGGCCATTAAGACAATACATTTCATTAAAATTATACCAATCTTCAGGCAGATGTCTAAAAAAAAGGGTTCTTAAGAAACAAATAATAAATTTTGAAGTTAGCAAGTTGACATCCTTTCTAAAATTATGGGAATAGTTATTCAAAAAATTAAATTTGTAAATTTTTACAAGATCATTCTTCTGAGTTAAAAATAAGTTACAAGTAGCCACCACTGATAATAAAAGTTATCTAATGATAAGAATTACATATTTGGTCAAAAAATAAATTATTAACCTGTAATGCTAATTACACAATAATGAAAACAGTTTCCAGAAATCATTTGCTTAAGCTGATGGTTGGACAATGAAAATATATTTCTGAATCTACAGACTGCAAATACAAGTAAAATTACTAGCACTATTTGTTTTTTCCCCTAAGCTGTAAACATTAATGTTTCTATTCATAAGATAACATTTTCCTTCTAAGTACGAAATAGGTAAAATAGTGGGAAGCTTAAATACTCTTAAATATTTCAATCAAACACCCAAAGCAAAGTATTTTGCCAGTGCAGGGGAGGTATCCACAGAATATCAGCCACATGTCTGAGAGAGGCAGTCTGATCTACGGGGTTACTGTTCACAGTGGCTAACATCACATGCGCTGTGTTTACGGGAACTGCTCCATTGACGTGGAAGGAATGCCCTATCTGGATTTTATATGCTCCCTGTTTACCTATCTTTTAAAATTCAATAAAACCAACTAGGTTTTCTTTAAACATAACTCGTTTCACTTGAGGGCAGTATCTTGTTTACCAATAATATTTGGCAATAAAGGATAGTATGGCATTCACAGGCTTTTAGCTTTATACAGAAGCTTGGCTAAAAGTTAGACAACATAAAAATGCATACCACTAATAAACAATCCACCATCTTTAAGAATTTAAATATCTAATATCATGAGAGTGAGCTTTAGGTAAGAATATATCATTAGCAAGCTTTCTTCTCTATGCCTGGACACAATTTGCTATTCCTAAGATAGTGACATTAGAATTATTTTTCAGGATTCCTGTGGAGCTGTACTTATTTTACATCCATGTGAACTGCTGTCATCACTACTGTGTCCAAGCCCAGAGGATGAACTGGAAAAGAAGAGAGGGGGAAAATAATAAAAAGAGGAAATTGGTTTTCACAACACACTCAAAGCCTGAGTAACAGAGGAGAACTTTAATTATCTCCAGTCACAAAGAGAGACAGGAAATTTGGACTTTTAATTAGCCATTTGGAGTGCAGTTGGATATTTTTTTAGCTAGATAATTTAAACGCGAATAATTCAAGTCTGACTAAATGAAAGTCACATAATCAGAATGCAGATAATTGAATTTCTACTGCATTCATTAATTCAGTGTGGAGGTGTGTGTGAAGACTACTATGATGAGCTGTCACAGCTCAATAAAATCTCAGTCAATTAATTTTTTCATTATCTTAGTATTACATCAACAAAAAAGCGAAGTATGTGTATATATCTATACACATGCCTGTGTGCACTATGTGTTGTACAAATACGTATATATTAAATCAAAACGCAAGGAAATACCTTTCTGAATCGTAATCTACATCATTTTCTTTTCTCCCTTCTTCATCTTCTTCAGGGAAACGTCTGTTCATCAAGGCAAATTTGTGAATTGCTTCTTCCACCGAGTACTTGGTCTGCCCAGAAACACAGGCCTCAATGTCGTCTGAGTTCAGATGGCTCTGCAAGAAGAGGTGAAGGCTGCTATCTGAAAGCAAAAGTGCATTCTGCAGGACTCTATATAAAAGAAAGAAAGGGAAAAAATAATCGGTAAACTGGGACGGACGGATCCCGGGAAGGAAAAAGAAAAACCTTAGAAACACACCACAGAGTAATTTCTGTACTGCAGGAAACTTTGCATCAATTATGGGTTCTTCCCATTAAAGGGATGAAAGCATATGTTAACTTTTATTCAATTATTTGGAAATTTAGGTGAGTAAAAACATGAAGCTAATAGTTAAGAACATCTGTTAAAAGAATAACTTCAAGGACATTTGTTCAATTTAACCATCTGTTATGACCATGTGGATTAATTATGGAAATATTTTGCTTATATAGTCATAGGAATTTATTCTACTTAAAAAAATTTACTGCCAACAGCATGTTAATTCAGGCATCTTTATTGGATAGGCTGTCACGAAACATCAAAACTTTTAACTACTATTAAAAATTATACGAGAAATTCAATATATTTCTCAGCATGTTTTACATTTTAAAACTTCACACGTATACATATGTTCATAAGTATATGCTTATTGGGGCTTACTTTTTTTAATACCCAGGTCTGATTAGAAATTTCTCCAAAATCTTCAGTAGCACTGCAACTCCATATCCTCAAAACAAGTAACCAAATAAAATTGATTCCAGCCAATTTTACCATATTGAACTAAAATATGATAAATTTGTGCTCGATTCATACAATTTCCCCATGACAAATTAACATTTACAAAAGTAATATAGATTTTAGCTAGTGTATTAGAAGTTCATGGAGGACTAAAAACTACACTGTAGCAAAATCTGTACATGCTTAAATTCATATTATCAGTGAATGTGTTTTTATCTGAAATACATGTCTGAGAATAGGAAATCAAGTATAGACTTTAACAGAAACTGGTTTTATCTTCATAGCAAAGGTTTTGATGTATGACCATCTAGTCTTTTTTAATAGTTCAATTACGGTATAATAGGAGACACAAAGATCAGATATAGGAGATAACATTAGAACACTAAACCTAAATATAATTTTGCCTAACATGGGATTTTTCACATAGCGATCTATGAAAAATAGATCATATATTTCAGACCAAATGAACCTTACCTTATATTTTGCATGTTTAAACAAGTAATTAGAAAAATAAATCTCTCTGGCCATTAATATCAATTTAGTTAAACTCCAAGGTCATTAGAACACCAAATCCTTTTTTTTTTTTTCAAAATAAAGCAATTATTTCTTCAAGAAAGCAAATGCACATATCAAAATGAAAATCTAGCCACCACCTCCTTTGCTTCAATAAGTTTATAAATGTAGTTTGAGAAAGTATTCATCATTCATTACTAGTCTGCTAAAACAAAAACTAAGACCTTTGTGATTTTTAAGAGAAAATTTCAAGCAGAGCAGCTAAATACGTCCCCTCTCTGTGCCCTCTGCCCTGGGTTCTCCCAGAAGATGACCATGTCACAGGATAAAGATTAATTTACCATGTACAAGTAGCCAAGTAGTAAAATCCCTTTTACTACTCAAGATTTATTTTCTACATTTGTAAATGTTTACCATTTTGTTTTAAATACTTCAAATTAAGAGAAGAGTTATATCGCAACAACCCACTTATATGAACTTGGACTCCCTGTGAAGTTTGAGCAGAGCATTTCCTGTGGCCTCCTGTCGGTAGTTTCCTGCCAGCCGTAGGACAAGTAACTGTTCATAGGATTGTGCTCGCTGCTTTGTGTCTGTTGGAAATGTGTTTTATTTTCTTTATAAAATAATGGGTAATCTTTAAAATTGATTTTAGATGGTTTGAGGCATTGCACCACAAAAGTAATGAGCACTAATGTCAATGATATTGGACACAAATTCATTTTAGCTTTATTTCACGTCTAAAGCAATTCTACTGAGCCTTGAACTGCTCACACACTGTTATTAACTTGCTAGTAACCTAACACATGGGTACAGCAAACAAAAGTGATCAGAGTCCAGGTTGATCAGGACCTCAAGGCTACTGTCCTTTTTTCTTGAGCTATAATTCAATTTCCAATTTTACTGTACATTAGACTCATTATTTCCCAGTGTTTTCTGCATAATACTGCCACCTAGAGGACACACGGTTAAAAAGAGAAGGGGCTGGCGGCCCAGCTCACAGTACATGGAAGAAGATGAGGTTGGGGAGGAACGTTCCCACAAAGTTTCAAAACCAGTGTGTCTTCAAGGCATGGTTTTTGTTTGGGGGACCTCTTTTCTCTATGGCTAAAGGTATGCCACCATACTACATGAGCATGAATCTTAAACAAGCAAATCTATTTTAAATATGTTTACGCTTTTTATTTTACAGTCGGATATTTCATTGCAAAATTTAAATTGAAAATTTTGCAAAGTGTTTCCCCCATTTAGTTCAGTGAGCATGATTGGTTCCTTTAGAGTAATAGTCAGTTTACCATCTATCAAAGAGGGTTATGACTGCCACAATCATAATACTAAGTCCTATTTTTTCCTTAGTCATATTTGCGCCACTTTTCCACAAACAAATCTAATAGCAGAAAATCAACTTCAAATTCAATATAAAGAATACTTTGTAAAACAGTCAATAAAATGTCATTGTTAGAAGGCCCCATAAAAATAAATATATATGATTTTCAAGCCTTTATAAAAGGAACAAAAAAAACCAGCCTCTAGAGTTTTAAAGGAATTTCTGAAAATATATTTACAATGAGAGTCAAAATTTATTCCTTTCTCCATAACAACTTTAAAACAAAGCGAAATCTGCTTTTTCCTTGAATTGGACACAGTTGAAAATCTGGTTTTCCTCAACATTATTTTATAAGGTGCATTATATAGTGGTTCAGTTGGGAACAATATATAGCTACACAAAATCATTTAATCCTAACTAAAGATGTCCTGAGTCTACTGAACCCAATATAATGATGTCTATACACATCTGTACAGTGTGTGGAACGTTAGCAGTTTGGGGTAGAAAAAAAAA